GCACTGTTGTGTTCAAAAACAAGCAGAAAGTACAAGCACTGCGAGATGCGTGCCGCATGGCACACGTTTAGTTTAATTTACTTGAATCAGTACAACACAATAGATGAGGTTCTTAGGTCGCATAAGCTGCCTAAGTCTTCCAGGACGACATATCACGACCGACAACCCTTAGACGAGAAAAGTAACTGTGATGGCGGTATCTCGGTTTTGCTAAAGACCGTTTCCTCTGCAAAGCACCGTGCCACCTTCGTGAATAGTCCTCATTCACTCTCACCTATATTCTCAAGTCTCAGTGTGCATAACTCCATGCTATTTCTGCGCAAAAGCAAACATCCCATAGCCCAATATTGAGTTCTAGTTACGAAAAAGCGGATTCCTTTTTCAGGTGTCCCATAAGGCGGTAAGGCCGTGTCTCTGCCATTGGCAGCTTTACTAAACATTGAAAAACATCCACATTGCCACGCAGCTATGATAATTGTGTCTGGTTTGATCCATTCATCTTCGTCCAATCGCAGTATTCGTAGGCCAAAACAAACCCAATCGAAGATATCAGGTTCATTGAAGAGCCGGTGGGCTACCACTTGTTTACCCACTTATGGCTATTGCTCGGGAAACTCAGGGAACGCGTCTTCTATCGCGTGCCTCAAAGTCATGTTAGACCAAATCTTGCAATGATCATGACGTCGAAACATTTGTCCAGGGTACTTCTGCCAAAGTTCCAAAGTCCGAAAATAGAACTGCGACTGCTTGTTGTGGCCTTCTTTGGCGCCCGAAAGTCCCGAGCACCGGGCAATGCTTGGGCTGTCAATCCAGGTACAGCTCGACATGACGCGGTCGTCAGCACCGTAATGCGGTTCAGCCACTCGCTAAGTGTTTAGTTTCTTGGCAATGTTCCTCCTGCAGGCCTCAACACAATCAAGTATAACGTAACACGAGACAGCAGGAATTCTCCTCGGAAACACATCAACATGCAAGTGACTCTACGTGAGTTTGGCTATTCTTTTCTTTCGAATGCTATGTATACAAAGGGCAAGCGCAGGTACCCAAGCTGGCGTGCTTAGACTCGAGTGGCTGATTGGAAGACCACAATCTAGCCTAGTAAAATAATCGATGTAAAGCATTGTGCTCTCAACCAACTTGCGCTGTGTTCGGGGGCTTTGTAAAATGTGGGTTCTATTCTGAAAAGAAAAAAAAAAGCAAAAGTCTGGAATAGTCAATGGCTGCCGGCCTCAAGATCAGTCCCGCGACGCGAGGGATGGCTTCATAAGATCAACTAAAGCATAGCCCACTGGCAGTTACGCAGGCAATAATGTGGCTTAACGTCCACAACTTGCCAATCACGATGTGTTGACAGATGCGACTAGTACAAAAGTAGCTAAGAGAATACGAGAGTCGCTGTAATACACACTGCCAGGGCGAAATGCGCCTGCCTGGCAGGCTGACTAGCATCTTAATCCTACAGCCAGCCAAACATCAATAGCAATGGATACTCGACTGCGGTCCTGAGCGATGAAAGTACTTTTGCCAAGATGGATGTCTCACAGTGAACAATCAGTTGCTGTGATTAGGGACCTCCAGATTTATTGAAATACCATCAGTTGCCTCGACATTTCGGACAACTTGTAAGTAGAAATTCACACTCCGGCAGCAACTCAGGTTATATCTTTCCGAACTTCGGACATCTATAAAGTGGACAAACTCTAGTAGAAGATCAGTAACTCTTGTCACGATGGTGTCTTCTCTCCTCTTGGCCGGATCTTTGTTTGGCCTCAGCCAAGCGGTCACTCTCCCCTTGGCTACAAGAAGCACAAATTCCACCAAAGCCTTTAGCTGGGTCGACACAAAATCAACGAGAGACCTGCAATACTACGACTGTGGTGATGGCTTTCAATGCGCCCGACTCGAAGTCCCACTCGACTGGTCAAACCCAACCAAGAACAGCACTGCTTCCATTGGCATCCTCAAGCTCCCGGCCACAGTTCCGAATGACGACCCGTCCTTCGCTGGCAGTATTCTCATCAACCCCGGCGGTCCAAGCGGTTCTGGCACCGGTTTTGCTTACCCCTTTGGACCCACCTTGCAAAAGGTCCTTGGTCAAGACCGCAACTATGAGATCATCGGATTTGATCCTCGTGGTGTCAACACAAGTACGCCTCGCGCCGACTGCTTCAAGGGAGACCAGTTCGCCCGCAGGCTTTCCCAGGAGCGCGACTCCATTCTACCCCCGATTGATGACGCTCTTGGCTATCATTGGGCCGACGCCAATGCTCAGAGTGCTCTTTGTGAAGAGAATGGCGTTGATAGTATCTGGGGTCACATGAACACCGCGTCCGTTGCCCGTGATATGGTGGAGATCATTGATCGCATCGACGACCTGCGCTGGAAGGAGTCGGGAAGGGCCAAACCAAAGGATGCTGAGGCAGCCCGCCTGCAGTACATTGGGATTTCATACGGGACCTACCTGGGCAATACCTTTGCGTCAATGTTTCCTGAGCGCATTGGCAGGATTTGGATTGATGCTGTCGTTGACGGCGACGACTGGGCTGCTGGTGTAAGTTCATCTCACCTCTTGAGTGTATCCCCATGTTAATCAATTTCATAGACCTTCCGAAACAATATCAACGACGTGGAGAAGATCGTTGATCAATTTTACGCTGTTTGCTTTGAATCCAAGGAAGACTGTCCCCTTTTCCAGTCATCTGACAAGTCCGGCTCAGATGTCAAAGCCCGTGTCGCCGACTTTCTAGATGAGATGGATACCAACCCCGTCTCCTTCGCCTACAACGACCGCCCGGGTGTTCTCACATCCCCAGTCATCCGCCAGGCAATCTTCTCAGCCATGTACACTCCCTTGGTCTCATTCGAGCCACTTGCTCTGGGCCTCAGCGCACTTCTGAAGGGCAACTCATCCATTCTCGCAAACTTCCTAACCCCCGAGTCCATCAAGCTTGTCTGCGACTTGGAGAACGATGAGCTTCCTCAGTACAATTGGGACTCTGATGTCTTATCTGGAGTTCTATGCACAGACATCGTGGATGACGTGGTTAATCGCAATATCTCCTTCTACGAAAACTTGCTTAAGGAGTTGAAGAACCAATCCGAGACGACTGGAACTGCTGTAACCGGAGCAGTCCCAATCTCCTGTGCCGGGCGTAAGATTCGCCCGCCGTACGCGTTCACGGGACCTTTCACAAGCCCTGTCGCCAACGCCAACGACTCCAAGGCTCCCGCTGCACCGCTCTTGATCACCTCTAGCCGTTACGATCCAATCACTCCTCTCAGAAACGCCCTGCACGTTCAGAAGGGACATCCTGGCTCGGCTGTGGTGATTCAAGAGACTTCCGGACATGGCGCGACATCTAACCCAAGCGCTTGTCTTGTCAAGATCGTTAGGGACTACTTTTACGAGGGCAAGCTGCCTGAGAGTGGTACTGTCTGTGAGTCGGCATGTAAGCCAACCATTCCGGCTGATAAGGAGAACTGCACCTCTATTCTTAACTCCAGAGATGTGGAGTATATGTTGCCTCCATTGGGAGAGTTCCACTGGTTCTAGTCGACAAATTCCGAGTATTCTTTCCAACATTAGTAATTAATTAAATATGATCGCACCTCTAATTTCCTTTTTGGTAATCATTTTTGTATAAATATGCAGCTAAGTCTTTTGCCATCTATTGACTCTCATCACTCCTGCCTCATAAGGAAAGCAAGGTTGTGCGGAAGTACTTGAGCCCAAGAAACAGGAGCATGATGCAAAGGTAACCTTGCTGGGTCAGGTTTAGGCAAATGCCATAGAGGTTAATTGAAAATGACTTTAAGCCACTCATATCCACAACACCATCTGGGTCGTCCTCTTCCGAGTCTCAATGGCCAGCAACACAGCCATGTTCATCAGCGTATCGTCCTCATTATATCAAGCGAACGGGGCTTCCAACCTCGGGCTCTCTGGCGTAGTGGTTGATATGGACCACTCTACTCGGGACGTTGAATTTCCACATGTGTCTATCGAGACGGACTTCGATTGCAAGCAATTCTTTGGCATTTTTGGCATTTGAGATACACTCAAATACACTTTTCCACCTAAATAGATGTAGATATGTGAATGTGGACATTTGAGCTGAGGCTGACATCGAATTCGAGGTAAGTGAGAACCCTGAACTTGAGGGTAAATTCATTTCGGGTAACCTCAAAAATGGCAATTCGACAGACTGCTCTTCCTATTGAGCCGTACGCATCGTTAAAACATCAAAAGCCCTGCAATCTTAAATCAGTCAAACTGATAAAGCCATGATTGAATTTGTGATCTACCCCATAGCGAATCGGTATGCCAAGGTAGAAGGTTACAGAGTGAGTGATTTTTATGCTTCGCGGTGTTTCTATCGAGAGTGCCCCTTCTCTTTCACGGCCTACAATGAGAAATCCACAATTTAACACCTCCAGAGATGGGCTATAATGTACTTAGTCTCTCACTCATATTTGCCACAGATATTTGAGAGCTTCTGTTTGACATCTTCTTTGCTTCGTGGCGTAATAGCTTACCTGTCTTACAACCATCGATCTCTTGGGTCTGGCCAAAAGCTTTCCCACTTTGAAACTTGCTACAGCTCCCGTTCTAGCTGCTCGAATATGTTTTTCTTGTCCATCAAGACGTATTCAAAACTCTGCTGAATGGGTAGGGGATTGGGTGTTAGCGCGACTATTCCAGGACAATTGCTATAAGTGCCAGCCCATAGTACAACCCATCCAAATGGCGGGCCCTCTTCTGTCTCCTCCTTAAAGAGAAGCTCTCTACGTTATATTTGGGCGATGTGACGATCCATGTCAATGATTTCACCCCTCCGGATGGACTCCCCAAATATATGGTCGAGTCGATTGCAACCTCCGCGATCAAGCTGGCGTTCCATGATTGCATCTTCATCGTCTGAGGTTCCCTCAACCACATTTCCTTGAAATGCTAGGTTTCGTAGTACAATAGACACCTCATCCTGCAGTTGTGGAATTAGTTATGGGCTGAGCATCTCACAATTCCGGATTGTAGAGAAGCGCTCCAGGCCACGCGTCACCAGCGCCTCGCAGAAACAATCATACGCGGGCGAGGGAGGCTCTAGATCAGGCTCGCGTCAGTAAAAGTTACAGATGAGGGAATAACAGTGAAAGTACCTTCACTGACATCAAAAACATTTGACGTTGACAGATCTTGGTAGACAAGCTTGAAATGTGTATCGGGGTTGGTACAACTGACAATGCCTGAAGGATAACAAAGAATCATGCGGTAGTAGGTTCGGATCTCGCAGTAGATGCAACTCAGCTCTTCGATTTCCCAGGGTTGTAGGTACTTGTTCAGAAAGCGCAGCATGTCGGCATTCGTCGTCGTCGGTAGCAGACGAGCGGTGATACTCCCCAGGCCGTGGTAGCTACACCATGTCTCGAAATGGTAGAGCCCACGGATCATACAGATTCTCCCTGTAGCGCTGAATCCGCTACAGTCTTCCGCCTCCACGTCCTGACGACCCCATTGACGCCAAAGCCATAGGAGAGCAGATCTTACTATCGATGAGTAGAAACGTGCGATGCCGGCCAGATCATCAACAGTACATGCTGCTCTGAAACTCTCTGGATCGGACTGCAAGTTGAGATATGAATCCATGAACTCCTCCAGAAGCTTAAGCTTATCTTCACTGGTCGACTCGCGCAGAATGCCCAGCTTATGAGCCGCAAAGGCATCAACGAATATGCGATGGCTGCGGAAGGTTCTGCCGAGGTGGTGATATAGCAGTCCGCGCCTCGCTGAGAGATAACATTTATGCAAAGTGGGTGAGACGTAGATGGCTGCGTGGAGGTTATCCAGGTCCGAGGGATTGCGGAGGACCTGCAACTGGATTTCTGGAATGAGGCCATCGAGGGTCAAGCGCCTAGCGACCTGCGGTCCGCTGAGAGCGGACGTAGTGGAACACTCGGTCGGCTGTTTCGCTCTATCGGAGCCTGGGCGGTGGGGTTGTTTTTCTACTTCCTCCTGTTTCTCGACAGACTGATCTTCATTGCACCCCATTGGAGCTGTACCACCCGCTATGAGTAGGTATCTCATCTCGACAGCTTGGCTGTGGTGAAGGTGACAATGATTGAGGATTCAACCCCATTTTGTGGCGTGCCTCAATGGATGAATAGGAAAAAAGATTGGTGCTCGGTGGCAGGTGCGGTAAGGTCATTAATTGGGAGAGCCAGTGGACAGGACCCTGACGTCAACCGATGATACCATCCAACTTAAGCTTTTGTCCCGGTGAGTCCGGTGCTGTCGTCGACAGCGAAAAAAGAAAATTTACCTCCATCACTTCACACATTTTGTATCGTGTGTGAGCTGACGATGACGAAAAAGAAGTAACCAGTCACCATGTCTGACCTGACGCCATCAAAGCGAATAACGGAGAGACTTGACAATGTTTTCAACTCAGCGTGAATGGTTGGTGTAATTGGCCGCTACCCCAACTGTACTGGCGATGTACTACTGAGGATATCTCAGATGGGGTAGTATCTCGGAATCGCAACCTTCACCCGAGTCTGTAGTCATGCTAGTATTTCGAATTTATACTTTAATCCAGGCAAAGACGGGATACAATACGAAAGATCAAGCACGGCAAAAATGACGCACGTGAGCTAGCAATGTGGGCTTGCCTGCGGGATGTCTATTGCATGGGCTTACCTGCTGCCTCTTCATCTTGAGCAATTGGTACTGGACGGGGATGAAGACTGCGCCCCCCGCAGACCTCAACCCGGTGGTCTGGATGATACAGAAGTGAGACGCCAATGTCATCTCCCCAGAATGTCAAAGCAGTCATGTCCCATCGACGCAGCTCGAATTCCAGTGGGAAACCCCCCAATACAGTCTTCTCGCACTTCATGGTCGTAAGGAGGCGGCACAGAATCACGACAACGAATCATGTACACCTCCGTGCAACATAACCGGCATAGCAGGCCTCTACTTGTACAGGGCCGAGAACCACTTTAACAACTGGGATGAACCAGATTTGGGTCAACCTCTTCCATATTTGGCAGTCCGTGTTGCATTTCTCGTTTCCCCACCTCAGGTTGCTGTATGGGTCGCATACTCAGTTGAGGCGTATCCAGAACTTCGGGCTACCTTGGCGCGCGCTTACGTCCGCCCTCGCGCTGGGAGATGATGCATGCAACAGCATTGATATGCTTCATCATGCCCAGCTGTCAAAATCGCCGTCGAACACTGCTTCGTTCTTCCCACTTTGCGTTGATTGTTGTACTCCAATTGCGGCGCTTAAGCCGAGAATTATGTTCACTGATCTTCATTCCAAAGAGTCACGTTGAAGAAAGGTTGGGTCCGGTTGATTCAAACGAAATGTGTCACAACGTATCTTCGTTCACGAGCATTGCGACTACATCTAGAACAGATACAGAAGTCTTTTCATATGACCTATATTTATCTGATACGCCTGGTCACTTTTTGTCGAAGACTGACCTGTCCCTGTCGACTGGTGCACTGCCCTGGCCGACCCTCTCCTTCAATGTCACAACACGCACCCAATAGTCAGGCTGCTACAGAAATGGTACAGCATGGCATGCGCCGAACCAAGGAGGTATGTCCAGTTTGCCAAATCTGTGTCTTGCAGGCTTGATTCTAGCTCCAATGACAGTCAGGTAAATGGGAGCATTTGGTACTTGTGTTGGGTCCAACGACCCTAGTAAGTAATTATGCAAGAGAGTGGCACCGGAGGATCTTCATCAAGTGGCCCCATTTCCATGTCAATTCTGCTACCAACAGCGTTGGATGCGCCGCAAAGGCTACTGTACCAATATCCAGGACCAGTTAGAAGCTCTTTTCAGGAATACTCTTGATGCTTAGTCCCCGTGTAAACGCTGGGCTGGTTTCGACACATCGCCGGGCTACACTCTCAACGCTTCTCCTAGCCGCGCGGTTCGCCTGGCCATCAAATAATACTTGTCTGTTAAAGAGAGCCAATCCACCGACAATACAAAACCTGATTTTCTCATGAAAACTCCCCGAAGCCCCTCGAAGTCATGTAGCTTCCTCTGCCGATGAATATTTTGACACATATCTCCCTCTCGAGGCAAAGCTGTAAGGAGCTTTGTACAATTGTTGCCCTACTTATCGTCTATCTCAACATCAAGCGCTCACTTTCTAAGTTCTCTTCCTTGTCCTTATCCGCCATCATGATCGGTCTTTTGCAGCCACTAGACTTGCGGAAAGAGCGTGTGGCTTCACACGACAATACACCGGCGCCGGTATCGCCGGTATCGCCAGTATCGTCAGTATCGAGGCCTCCAGCTAGCCCTGCCGCCAATCTTCACGCCATTGTGCTCGCTTTTCGAGCCATTACAGTGCTCAAAACAGCAAGCACCTCAGCGACTACTCGAATCAGAAAGACAACCTCTATTGATGCGGACAAACACCCCGCGTTACCCCTCTCAAATGTACATTCAGGTATGTTAGGTCCAGATTGACTTCCCACAAATGCACAACATGAATGCTGATACGTAATCGAAATAAAGTGTATCAAACTGTTCCACTTCGCCCCAATGAGTTCCGCATTCTCCATGTGGAGCCATCCGCTTCATTCTCGTCGCAAGTTGTGGCCAGGCTCTCCGTGGTTGACTACGATCCCGAATCCAAGAGAGTCTCGGCCTCTTACGACGCTCTCTCCTACAGATGGGGTGACCCCAACGACAACGTTACAATTATCGTCAACAACGCAGAGTTGAAGGTGACAAGGAATTTGTCCATTGCCCTTCAGAATCTTCGTCACAGGGACCGAGAGCTTGTCATCTGGACTGACGCTATCTGCATCAATCAGATGGACATAGAAGAGCGACAGGTCCAAGTGACTCTAATGGGGGCCATCTACTCAAAGGCAGCCTGTGTACAGATATGGCTTGGCGAGGCTGGTCACGATACCGAAGAGGGCATGAATCTCGCCAACAGCTGTGGCGGCACACGTGCAGACACCGCAGAAGTTGTGAAAAAGATATGCGCCGATGGTCGTGGGTCGACTGGATTGGCAGAGCTCCTCGAGCGGCCATACTGGAGCAGAATCTGGATGTTCCAAGAAATCCTCCTGTCAGGAAAGGCGCAGGTTCAGTGCGGGCAATTCAGCACATCCTTCGGTAACCTCAAGTACCTTGACTTGGTAACCTCCAAGTCATCCCTGTGGAGAGACCGAAAGAACCCTCCACCCTGGACTATCCGACTTCGCAAAGCGTTCTTCAACACAGCACAATTTACCATCAGTCCAAAGGCTCTCAACAACCTAGAGCGTATTCTTGTTCTCACAAGACCATTACAAGCGACCGAGGCGCGTGATAAGCTCTTCGCCCTCATGGGTACGTGCGATATGGCCCCGTATCTGTCCGTCGACTACAGCAAGTCGCTCCGCGATATCTATGTCGAGTTCGCCAGGCATTACGCTCAAAAGACAGGAAGTTTAGCCTTGTTTCTCCTAGCCGGATCTCAAAATCCAGAGGATCAAACCGATATTGGTCTTCCTTCATGGACTCCGGACTTTCGCTCTTCGACGGGGGTCGATATCTACACTGGCTACGGTATCGAAAATGCAGGTACCTTCAATGCCACCAAAGGGAAACGCTTCATGGGAGCGTACTCAAAAGAACACTCAAGGGGGGATGCTGACGGGGTCTTCGTGGCCGAAGGATATCTTTTCGACACGATTCGAACCACAGTCCCAGTCTTGAAAGATGCGCGGACTCCGAAGGAATTGTTATCGGTGCTGCGATTTGGACAGCTTGAAAGTCGGCCCATGGTTTCAGGCAAGCCTCAGATCGAAGCACTGTTCGAGGGTCTCATTTTCGACACCAATGGGCACACTGAAGAGGACTCTGAAGCCCGCGCCACCACAAAGCAACATCATCGATTGAATTACATGCTTGGGTTCATGCGAGACTTGGAGACATACATGGGCAACGAGCTTCCCAGGAAGAAAGACGGCAATGTTGACTTCAACGCCCTCTTCGGCTCTAAAGGAGGCAGCGATCTCCCCTACGTCACCTTCCATGAGTCAATCAAAAGGACTGATCCCTCCCAGCTCGATGTTCATTACAAAGCATTCATGAAGGAGTTTTTGTTGAAAGCAGGACGGGCGTCGAGCATGTTCGTCTCCAACGACAACAAGCTCGGTCGGTGCAGCGTCGTTGCACGATCTGGTGATGTCATTGCCTTACTTTTCGGATGTCCTTTTCCTGTGATTTTGAGGCGGAAAGAGTTGGGATTCGAGCTTGTCGGTGCTTGTTACATCAGCGGCATGATGTACGGGGAGTTAATGACCAGCGAGAGTCATGACTTGGCTGTTCAGGAGATCCCATTGATCTAAGGAAGATATCAGCAGACGAAGCTGAGCATGTATCATTATCGAGGCATTTTATCATTCGGCAGCTCATCATCTAATTGGAGTCTCGATTTCTCGCGAGATTTACTTTACACAAATGTCACTCTTCGTGCTTCCTTCCTACAAGCTCACTTTATCGCTTCGTAACTCTTCATTTCAGAAGCTGTCAGTCGCATAAAAATCCATCCTGTAGTATCACCTCGACGACTCAGTCGTCGCTGTTACACCGGTCAACAAGTCACAATCGAAAAATAATCTAATCCTGGCGCAAAATAAGCCCAGGACACGTTACATTCCGACCCAGTTTCGTCTTTTCCATGGTCATCTGAGTTTCCGCATTCGACCGTCGATTAGCCAACCATGCGGTCCGAAGAGTCCAGTGACTCTAGTCAGAAGCGCTCAGCTAGAAGCGCTCAGTCAGAAGCGCTCAATGCAGTTTCTTGCTTAGCGTAGAGTTTCATGCGCGCGCTTGCGACAATAACGCCGGCGGCAAAAGTCCATCATCTTCCATTCCATGGAGTTGTCATGATCGTCCTTGGGGCTTCCATCTGTAATTTTATGACAGCCAAGGGCTGGTGTTGCATAAGAGACCAAGCATGTCCACATCCCCTCCTTGAGAGGATGTCCCTTGTCATATCTCCTTCCGCAGCTCATACAACTCACGGGACCACAATACGACCTTAGTGATGCGAAATCAGAGAGCGTGTGTCCATTGACTAATAATCAAACAAAAAGCGTAAGTCGCACAGAACATACATCTTGTCACCCAGCCGTGATTTTCAGATCTTCTTGGTTAGCACTTGGACTGATAAAACAGTGCTGCTTTGGCAAACACAGCCAATGACATCCATTCGACGTGACGAGCCCATCGAAGTGGGTGTCGCTAACGATAGACGCCGGAAAACCGAATTAGGTCCGATTGCCTTTGACTGATGAAAGAAATTGAAATCGATTCAGCCACTGACTCGCACAAGTCTACCATCTGCTTCCTTTCAGTAGAGACGAGATCCGTGTGATCAAGCTGCAGCCCGCAACGTCACTACTGACTCCGGTTATTGCCGACCTCGCCGTCCTGCAGCTCGGAATTGAGCCTTCTCAGTATGATGCGTTATCATATGGCTGGAGTGACGACACTGATCTAGTCAATATCATTATCAATGGGAGGGGCATGAATATCGCACGCAGCCTTCAAATTGCACTACGCTACTTACGCCACGACGAAGAGGAGAGGGTGTTGTGGGCGGACAGCCTTTGCATCAACCAGGGGGACATGGAAGAGAAGTCTATACAGATTCAGAAGATGGACAGAATCTATAGTGAAGCCAGTTGTGTGAGAATCTGACTGGGTGAAGCAGGTGACTCTACAGAAGCGGGCATGGCCTTGCTAAACAGCTATGAGGCTCTGCAAGATGAGACGACGACTACGCAGAAAATCATGCATGACGAGGAAGGTGTTACAGGGCTGACTGGGCTCCTCCTTCGGCCTTACTGGTCCCGAATGTGGATGTTCCAAGAGATCCTCCTAGCAAAGCGGGTAGCGGTCCACTGCGGCACCTTCGTTGCAGACTGGTGGACAATCAAGACATTGGACACTCTTACCAGCAAGCCCTCTCTCTGGAAGCCATCAGAGCCACGAAAAAGATCTATCGCCGAATTACGCAAGGCATTCTTCAACATTGCGCACTTGAACGTTCTTTTAAGTCAGAGTGGGAACATCGAGAACATCTTGTTTCCAACTAGCCACCTACAAGCCTCAAACGATCATGACAAGCTATATGCGCTCATAGGTCTGCGTAACATTGGGGACTATTTAACCATCGACTACCACCTTTCTACGAGCGACTTTTATGCGGACTTCACGCAGTGCTATACTCAGCACACCGGTGGCCTTAGCCTGCTCTACGGCGCGGGGCTTTGCCAGTCCTCCAGAGGCCGAGATATCGGTCTTCCCTCCTGGGTGCCCGACTTCCGCGGGATAGACGGCAGAGACTCATTCTTCCTCGCTGCTGGATTCTCCAGAGTTTTCGAAGCATCAGCTGGCAGAAGCTACCGGCAAGCAAAACGAAACGATTTTGAGATGGGCTCAGATAACAATATACATCCAGCTGAAGGCCTCCAGCTTGACGGTCTGCTAGCTGGAGACTTATCTGATGAGAAACCTCCCGACAACTTCCCAATTTGTGAAAAGCTCTCAGCCAAAAACCTCTCTTTTGGAAATATTGCTGTCGAACAACTCCCTATTCAACAAAACTCCATTTAGGAAGTCGTGGTCGGAGAACCCCCGATCAGGAGACTTTCTATTGAGCAAATTTCGTTCGAAGAATCTGCGGTCGAGCAATACTCTGCCAAATGTCTCGACGTTGAGGGTCTTCTAGCTGGAGAAATCCTGATGACGCATCCACTTGACGTCAGCGAGGCTGGTCGCTGGGAATTGTACCAAACATTCGGTATTGGCTGCTCAAGGCACAGCTCTTGCGAGTCTGCAATTCAGGCACTTGCTGAAGTCCTCGTCATGGATAGCGATGCTAAAAACTCTAAACGCATTTCAGGACAACCCGATCATGGTTCTCAGGTCTCACTATTTCGCCTTCTCGGTCTTGTTCGAGATGTTGAGAAGTTGTGCAAGGGAGACTCTACAGGAGCCGAAGCCGAAACTGATGTTCTGGCCTTTTTGAGATGGCTTGGGATCGAGCAAGTCGATATGTCAGGCGAGACTTACTCTAGTCTTTGGGCATCGGAGCAAAGAACGCTCGATCGCTATCGTACGTTGTTCATCCGTGAGCTGAAACGCAAGCGAGTCCCATCTTGCCGGATTTTCTCAGCCAAGTCTGGCTACATTGACACCATGATATTGGTATGATCTTGTAGATCTTAGAATTCTCAGTAGAACAAAGAGATTGCCGAGGCCTAGCTAGTTGGGGCAAATCGAAGTGTTGATGGACAAAGGGGTATCCGGTCGATATCGCGTCAGCCATTGCTATGTATACATTTGTCTTGAGATTATATCTTAGTCCGTTTAGCTGGGATACCTTATTGCAGGACAGTCATAGTCAAACCAGATTTGGTAATAGCCACTTGGAATTGAAGAACTTCTTGGAATTATCTTACCAGCCCCTGTCGATATGCAGAAAGTCCATCACAGCTGAATATAGGATCGGCGCTGAATAGTGCAGGTGAGACAAACCACAGCAACAGACTAATTAGTAGAAGTTTAGTCTACCAAATATATCGGCATTAGAGGTGATAAACCTTCCATGGAACCCATAAAGCAGTTGCCTTTGATACTGCGACTGCCGCATACTGGAATGGAGAAGCGGTCGCTCTGCGTGTCCTGGCTGTGACCCGACTTGCATCAAGAGTTACTGCACCTCGTACTGGAGCAGCTTCTTGATAGGCCAGACTCAGTGAACAGGAATTTAGTATTTCAGGCTAAGGAGAGAGTCAATAACTGGAATAGGGACTTGGAAGGCTAGTTACAAGATGTTCCCAGCGTACCTGACTTAGGTAGCCAAAGCAACAAAGCAGGCTCTATACTATTCGGTTTTGGGCCTGTTTCTAGAAATTTTGACGTTCACCTTCTCAATCTCTTCCCTCGCTCGATCCCACCGACTTCGCTTGCCCTTGAAGTAGCGGTAGATATGTGGACTGTAGATACCACCCATGAGAAGGTTGCAGAAAGATCGATCCTTGAGCCAGTAACGCCATCCCTTCCAACCCCACCCCAAATATTCGTCAACCCCAGTTCCAGCCATCTTGTCCGCCCATGCTGACCAAGAATGGCCATTGACAAGCTGCGGGTGAACATTACTTTTCTTTGCAAGGTTACACAGCCAATCATGGTGCTCGTCAACCGCCCGCTCCATCTCGTGCTGAGGTGGAAGATCCGAGTTCCCCTTCCAGATTTGCACGACAGCCATGGATGCCAGGTCATATAGAACGAATGCCCCCGTTGCAAATGCCACGCACCCCATGAATGCGAGTGAGTCCGGGTACTTGAGAGACAGAACATTCTGATACAGACGAGGCAGCGGTTTGCCCCTAGACCCCTGGGACGCAGTCCACTTCGGGGTGGTAAAAGCCGTTGGATCAGCTTCGTGATCCAACAGACCAAAGTTTGGTTTGTATCCAGTGCAGTAGATGATAGCATCTACATTCAAACTCCTTCCATCAATCAACTCAACTTCATTCGGCCCGGTTACGCAGCTGACACCTAGGACAGAGTGGACTTTGCCACTCTCAAGCGCTGGGACGATCTCGTCTGAGACGACTGGGGTGCTAGTTTTGATCGAAGGTGCTGGAGAGAGATTCCACTCAGGACGGATGTTGAATGCAGAATCCTGCAGCTTTTTAACAAATCCATTGAAAAGGCGTTCAGATAGATTAGGGAAGAACCGCTCGAGGAGCCTTTGGAAAGTGATCAAGCGAATATTAAGTGTGTGGTCAATCGGATGTCCTTTGTTGGTTCGAGGAAGCTTATGGCAGATTAGACCTGGTTTTCGATAGATTGGGGTCCATGACTTACGATGAGAGCGCCTTCTCGATGAGAAACATAGATCTCGCTTGCATGGCCCACAAGTGATGTTGCAGTGTCAGCGCCGGTGTTTCCCAAGCCGAAGACCAACACTTTCTTCCCTGCGAAGTTCTCTGGGCTAAACTGCTCATTAGCAAAGAAAGACCAGACTGAAATAGTGTGGTTGACCTTTTGTAAGATTTGGAGTGGAGCGTTTCGCCCTTGAACTGCTCAATCCCTTTGACATTCGGATAGTTCGGTGTTTGGTTCATTCCTGTCGCGATGATGACCCTGTCGAACATTTCGTTTGGCGAATCAGAAATTTCAATAATCCATTTGTTGAGAGTATCATCATGCGATACATGAGTGACAACTGTGTTGAGACGCATCATTGATCGCAGCTTGAAGTGATCGACATAGTCCTCCAGATACTGCGCCACCTCTTCGGCCGAAGGTTGACTGGTCGTCGCTTTGATTTGTGAGAGTGCTAACTTTTAGTCCAATTGACAGACTTACCATCAGGAAACGGGAAGTCTGTGAAACACCCCTGATGAAGTGTCAGTCGCATTAACTACTCGAAGTCCCAAGTCTCTCGTCTGCACATTTTAAAGAGAGAAATCTTACTCTTTCTTTTGAAATATTAACAACAGTTGCTGTAGTACGTAAGTCAACAGTGATCCAAATGCAATGGCAGGCGGAGCATCGTGCTACTCACTGGGCAACACAGAAGTCTTGTCCTCTCGAGTAAACTTCCAAAGACCACCAACATAGGGGTTGCGCTCAAATCCGGTCACTTCGAAACCCTCTTCGGCAAGATTCTTCAGAGCCACGATACCAAAGGCACCTACTCTGTGTCAGAATAATCAACTCGTTTCATCGACAGGTTTACTACACTTACCGAGTCCTATCACTGCGACTTTGTTCCTTGAAAGGTCCATTGTGACACAATTGAAGTCATTCAAAATACACAGGATGTCTCAAGCCGGGAGTCACCAGGGAACCACGCGCCATATCTAGTTATTTTGGCTTTAGCGATTCTCGTGGTATGGAATGCGGGCACCTAAACTCTTGAAACCTTGAGGGCTGAAAGTCATGCCACTACTTCCGCTGTTCCGCTGTGGCGTCCACTAGCACCCAGCCAAGCGCACCTAGCAGCGAAACCACGACATAAATAAGCGAGGCGATACGAGAGCAGCGCCTGATTGGTGTCTCTGATCTCACTTCTTACTGTCAGCATTGATGGACTTCGGAAGGTAAGCCCTGCGTTTCTCGTAAGTCCGTCGTTTTATGAGCTTCTCCGAGATGCAAGTGCTCGCATGACAAGTTGGTCCGAGACCGGCCTCGCCTGCTCAAATTGCTCAGTCCAAAGTCCATTCTTCTTTTTTCTTGTTTGAGGTTGGCGGGCTGCATGCCGTTGGTATTTGGTAATAAGTCCGAAGCAGACCGTAGTCCATGAATTGTAGAAGAACGTATGTTTCGATCTACATTTGTCACTCTTCAAGCAAGTAGGTAATTATACAACGTAGGTATCAGCAGATCAAGGTGAAAAGCTTCCCATTATCTGCTGGGGCTTATACGCCCGAATCTGGGTGAGCTTGAAAAATGCTGGTATAGGACTCATTTCATTAATTGAATACCTATAGTACATGCACTCCACATCAGCGGTGGCAGTCATTGGACGTAATTGAATGCTGTCGCTTGACCTCACCTCTCATGCACTTAATAACTCTTATTGTGCTTGGGTTAACTGCCCGTCAAGGCGAAAATCATCGAGCACCGAAATCTAAAGCCTTTCTCTACCACACCAAATTTAAAGACATTTGAGCGCTTGGGACTGGGATTCGGATCCTGTTTGAAAACATCAAGGGAATTAGGTGACAATGAGTGTTTTTCAGGAGCCTAATTAGCCGGTCCTGATATGACAGCTGCGTTGAATGGCTGAAGTCTTGATTAATGTGCGCAAATCAGCTCAACATTCTCGCGCTTGGCAGCTTTGGGAGGTTTAACGATCCTACCCGAATTACTTCGTCATATTCCTTAATACGGGGAAGAAACTGGGTACAACGTCTGTATAAGTAAGCTGCAGTTTAAAAAGAGTGACTTTCTTGATGTGCTGCGATCCGCATCGCCGTGTCCTTCCTCGTCGCTCTATCTATTATTAAAACTATCTCCAGTCGAAATGTCAGCATTTTCTTGCGCCCCCGCAACGTTTGAGAATATCTCACTGTATGGGGCGGAGATTCTGTCTCTGCAGACAAATTTTATCACCAACTACACCATCACTGTCCCTTCTTCTGTTCGCTTCACCCAGCCGACAGTCGAAGTGCAGAACGGGAGCTTTTGCAACATCACTGTAACCTACACCCACCCGGGTCAAGGTGATGTCGTCAATTTCGAGGCGTGGCTTCCCGCAGAAGGGTGGAATGGCCGCCTCCAGGCTGTCGGAGGCGGCGGCTGGGTTGCAGGCCGCAGTGAACCGTTTTATAGCGCCATGGTTGGAGCAGTAGCTGACGGCTATGCGACGACCACGACCGACGCTGGGTTGGGAAACGCTTTGGACGCGAGTCCTTGGGCACTTCTCAGCCCTGGAAACGTCAATTTCTACAATCTGCAGAACCTTGCGTCTGTGTCACTCGAGGACGGCGTAAGTCGATAGACCGCCTAGGCGTAAGTGACTCTTCTAATCTTGAAGCATGCAGGCAATCATCGGAAAGTCTCTCATCAGGTCCTACTACGGTCGCGGACCAGACTATTCCTACTGGAATGGCTGTTCTCAAGGAGGCCGACAAGGACTCATGCTAGCACAGCGGTATCCTACTCAGTATGATGGCATCGCGGCCGGTGCTCCAGGGATTCAATGGACCAATTTCTTCCCGAGCATGCTCTGGCCTCAGCAGTACATGAATATGATCGGGGAGTACCCTCATGCATGTGAACTCGCGGCGATCACGGCCGCGGCAGTGTCTGCTTGTGATGGATTAGACGGTGTCAAAGACGGGATCATTAGTGAAGTCGATGCGTGCCTTGATGCATTCAATCCTTTCAAGATGGTCGGTCGAGCAATCAACTGCTCTGAGGCACCTGAAGTTAGTCGTACAGCAGCAGCTGTAGTCAATGCTACGTGGCAGGGGATGCGCAACTCCCCAGGCGTACAGCTATGGCCAGGACTAAACCCCGGTACTGATCTGGCTGTCGGCGTCGCTGCCACCAACTGCTCTACAGGGTCTTGCATAGGTGTGCCATTGCCCATTGCTACGCAATGGCTTTCGTTATTTGTCGCGAGGGATCCAAATCTTGATCTTTCTCACGTCAGTCAAGCCGAGTTCGACTGGATGGCACACCAGGGGCGGCAGAGGTACAACTCGATTATTGGCACTGATGACCCTGATCTCTCTGCTTTTCGTGATGGCGGAGGAAAGCTAATTACTTTTCACGGCCTCGTAAGTCAACCCCTTATCCACCTCTGGGCAGTGAAAAGGGTTGACATTCCCACAGATTGACGAGCTTCTCCCTCCAAAGGGGAGTACCAAGTACTACAACAGAGTATCTGATCTCATCCCGGGAGTTCATGACTTCTACCGCCACTTCGAGGTACCCGGCATGGGCCATTGCGGTGGAGGGAGGAGCGGAGAGCCAACTAGTCTATTTGGTCAACTCCGTGCATGGGTCGAGAATGGCACAGCACCGGACCATACACTAGTCAGGGTTACAGTTCCGGACGGAAACGTTCAAGACCGCATATTGTGCCCATATCCGCAGAAGAGCGTTGTCGATTCGAACTGTGATAGGAATCTGGGAACACGATGCTGGTCATGCGAAGACAGTTCGTAGGTATCACTCAAGATCATTTCTTTTGTTGGATGAATTGGCCAATCGGCCGTTCATTGTCATGGATTTGGATCCTCTAGTTCTATGTCTTTGTGGTATCATTTGCAGCACACATCCGAAATCTCAAGCGCACCCACTTAGTCGAACAAGCCATACAGCAGGTTCCCCAAGTTATGTTACATCATTTCCTGTGAAGTGTTTGTCTAGTCACTGCAGCTGTTCGAGCAGTCGTGCTTCTCAGCGTTGTATCTGGAGTGGCATTTGCACTGAACGTCCTGGACAGGGTAGCAGCTGCCAGAAACAGAGCCACGGTGGGGGTCCGCCGCGTTGGTGTTCTTGTAGTTGACGGTGAAGGATTTTCCGAGGGATCCAAACTTGCGGTTGATGTAGAAGAGAGCATTGCCCTTGCGGAGGCCGTTGTTGCAGTACTCGGCGGGCTCGTTGCGCGCCCAGTTGTCGAATTGGCCGCAGTCAACCCCGTAGTAGCCGTTCACTATGAGACGGGAAGGTCAGCGACTCGTTCAAGGAAGAAAGGTCGAATATTGAGCATGTTGAAGACTTACTGGCACTGTCGACCAGGATCCAGGGATCAACATGGTCGTCGAAGCAAAAGTCAAGTCTGCACTGGACGCGCTGGCAATCGCAGTAGCTGAAGCCGCAGTCGCGCTTCTCCAGTTCGAAGGGGACATAGTTGGGGGAAGAGATGGCGGCCAGGATAGGAGAGGCCATCAGGCTGGCAAGAATCACGGAGAAAAGCGAAGGCATTTTGAAAAGAGTGTAAGTAACGAATGTAACGAAAGAGTGTGATGGGTTCTACAAGCAAAAGAGTGTACTGAACGAATCTGTTGATCCTCTGTTCACGAGCTGCAAAGAATCTGGGTAACAATCATCTCTTATAAATGCGTTTACGATTGCTATTATTGGACTAACAACACTTACTCGAAGGAATTTGACAAGACGGGCATACCCGACTTAGCTTGTACAACGGTTACACCGTATCAATCAGTGGTTCATCGTGGTTCATTCAGTCTCTCGGCCGATGTGATATCTCTATTAGACTTTAGGCTAAGTGCCGGTGTCCCTGTATCCGTCGGCCTGTGCGCCCACTTCATCTGCCCATATGGCCATAGCACGAATCGTGGCGGCGGAACCTCCTCCTACCCGAGCCTCGAATACTCAGTCACCTTTGCGGCTCCATGGAGCGAGTCAGGGGCCCCCAAGTCAGACTCGTCAATGTTCTGGAAATCGAGTATTTGTACTGCCTCGATTGGAGGAGGCAGTCAATATTCTCGAAACTAGACATAATCAAGATTGGTGAGTTGTGGTTCCTACCGCGTCCATGGTAGTAAGTGACTTCACAAGTCATTCACTTGATCTACCTAGTAGAGCCGGGTCCAGATCACCTTACCCACGGTTAGTGGATACCCACTCATCTACCGACATTAGAACAGAGCCATCATTCGATGGCAGGCTCAGATGAAAGTGATAAGTTAGGCGAAGACTTCCATTTGTCTCTGAAGTTACGGATGTCGTGCGGCGTGCCGTCACCCGTCCCAAATCACAATAACCCGGCATACCGAACCCGAATCTTTAATTCGCAAAGCCTCGCTAGATGTCAAGCATAGATAAGATCGACACTTCGACTCAGTCCGAACTCCAGTTCATGTCAAACAAGGCAAGGAGTCCCCCACTCGCCCAGCCGGTTGAACGGCAGCCTCACCCACAAAAGGCCGTTGGCATTTGACAGAGGTCCGGATACGCCGGTGTCGGGGCATCGTCGAGTCATCAGGGGGCGTTTCATCTGCCGTGCATGTACGCGCGTATCCAGGCACTGGCGCGCGCACTACTGATTAATACAGAGCAGTTGGAACTGCTTCAGCTGCAAAAATTCCATCCCGAGCACATCTCTTATCCAGCTGTTCGAGAACTGTGTGGATGAAGCCTCTTGGGCAGCCTCGGAATTTTTGTATTAGTGCAAGTTGAGATTGATGGCTTGTGGGTGACACAAGACTCGGGGCGTACATTTCAGTCGTAATGCGTTGTGTACGCCCTTTCCTAGACTGACGGAAGCTGACGGACAGCCGGACTTAGGCAGGTGTTCCCGCAAGAGTTCAAGTGCGGTGGATGTGTGAGTTCCCGCAATCCATATTATAAACTTCATTACACAAGTGTGATTACGTGAACTTATCCCAGCCTTCGGGTCTGCCTCAAAATGACAATTAGGAGTTGTGGAACCTGGATGTGCACAATCAGCAAAGTGTGTGACGCTGTTGCTTGAAGTCTAGGTTCGGAAGACGCTTGTCGGATTTTTATATAAGCCTTCAGCATCTTCAGTGTGTCTTAAGCAATGGACACGAAGTTTCTCGCCAAATGGATATCACGACATTCGAGCGCTTTGCATGCCTCTCTGGTAAGAAATACATGAACAATTATACTGTACGGATCACTACGTACCTTAGTACAGACAAGAGATGGGACTATGGCGAACCCTGAGCAGCATAGCTATTTCCACCGGGCAGAAGCATCATGAGATCAAATTAGGTAACGGTTCCCATTCTGCGTCCTGACTGAGTAACATAAGGTGTTCACGAAAGCTAGCCACTTAAACTTTGAATCCTTCGTATTGGTCTCCGCCCCCTTGGCCGATTCATTCGAACCAGAAACCAACAAATTGTTGACGTACCGGGTTCCAATCTTGCTGTTGTCTCCTTAATCCGCGGATGCAGACTGTTTTTCCACACCGACTCGTGATTTAATTAACCCGTTCAGCTCCAGCCAGGAAGAGGGAAAGGGGTGTCTTCTGGCTCCGCGGGCAAGCCTGCAGTCGGCAGAGGGGTAAGCGTGACAATCCTGTCCTCTTCGGCCAGCCTGACCTCGCGGAACTTGCGCAGAGTCCAGACATTCCACACGTTTGAGTCGATGACAACACCATAAAGACCGGCAGTCGTGCCGGTCCACTTCGTGATGACCCTGAGATCGCTGTCTCGGGTGCGAAGCTTGTCGACGAACTGGTCAATGTTGGTTGCCTGTTTCCGGTAGTCAGTATCAGGACGGTATACGATGGAGCTTAGTCCAGACTGAGGGTCTTACCGGGGCAAGGAAGACGATGTATCGACCAGCGAGGACACTGGCGACGTAAGAGAAGAGGGTGAGTAGGCTGAAGCGCATCTTAAAGATTATGTATTAGGTATTGGTGAGATGAATTAGGGATATTGTGATGGTCCTGAGTGCAAGTTTGCTGATGATACCTCAGGATAGATGCAACTACTGGCCATCTCGACTGCCTTTTATACTCCACCGCTCTTCCTCAACTCGATATAACCTCGAGACATTTCCTTCCGTCATGCGGGGTTTCGATCACACCTTCCGACTGTTCACCGGATGTCATCACGACGAGAAGGAATCTAGGGGCCGCCATCACCGTGTGCCAAGATCCTGCCTTGAGACATCCCCAGCCCGGTCAAAGTGCAAGCTCAGCCAGATTCCTGCGCAACTTCTCCCTCATCCCAGATCAAATCTCTCACGCGAATGGACAGAACTCTCTTTTTGCCAGCAGGCGCCATCACCTTTGGGTGTCGTCGGGGTCTTGGCTTCGCGCGTTGCGGGAGATCGGCGGTGTTTGTCCCCCGTTGCGGGCACCTCCAAGACCTTGCCCTCCGGTGTCTCTGAGACTCAACTTCCATAAACGGCAACCCTGCATACCGGAACGAGCTGACATGAAATACGTTTTCGATTACTATAAGACGCAACCGCTATAATAAGACAGACTCGCTACATGTAAGTAGTACCTGAGCCCTCTCCTTTCCAAAATAGACAAACTTGTACGTGACTTACTAGTACTTGCTAGTATTGCGTCAACGGGCTCTAATTTTCTCCCATCGGCTCGGCACGCTACGCCACGGCCGCCTCATCGCATCGGCTCCCCGAGACCATCGACGGCGGCTAACCTCGGACCATGCGGTAGAGACATCTCAGAGTTTATCAAATGTCTTAGAACCGAACCTCGCGTCCCGACTTTGCGCTCTCCTTGACAGCGTGGATGATACGCAGGACATCCCGCGCCTCTCTCGCCGGCACAGGAACGTACTCCTCCCTTCCAGTCTCAACAGCCTTGGCGAAACCCTCGAAGAGCTTGAGGTACGTCTCCGGCTTGTGCGTCGGCTTCATGCGCTCCTCGACCTGGCCGCCCTCCTTGACCAGCAGCAACCTCCCGCCGTTCATGGGGTCTTCGACACCGAAACCAGGATCGGTGGGCTTCGCGCCGGCCTTCAACTGGTCCTCCTGCGGATCGAGGCAGGTCTTGTGGTAGCTGGCCTTGGTGCCGCGCACCCAGAAGCGAGGCTGGCTTGTCTCGACGCTCATGACGCCGATGCGTATGCTGACGATGAGGCCGTCTTGGTAGCAGAGCTGCGCGTGCACGCTGTCGGGGTCTTCGGGGTCGAACTTGCCGTCGCGTTGGCTGACGAGCTTGCCGTAGACGGTCTCTGGCATGCCAAAGAGGTTGTAGGCCTGGTCAATGAGGTGGGATCCCAGGTCGAACAGGGCGCCGCCTCCCTCGGCCATGGTCAGCTCACCCTTCCATGACGTAGGGCGGTCGGCGCGGAAGCGGTCAAAGTGGGTGTCGAACTCGTAGACACGGCCAAAGACGCCATCGGCAATCATCTTCTTGACCGTGAGGAAGTCACTGTCCCAGCGACGGTTCTGATAGACGCAGATGAGGCGTTCATTCTCCCTAGCGATCTGAATGAGTTCCTCGGCCTCCTCGATGGTGGGCACGAAGGGCTTCTCGACCAGAACGTGCTTGCCGGCCTGCAGAGCCTGCTTGGAGAAGCTGAAGTGAGTGTTGGGTGGTGTGAGGATGTTGATGATGTCAACATCAGGGTCCTGGAGCATGGGCTCCAGGGAGGTGTGGTGCTTCAGCTCAGGGTAGTCATTTGGTGCTGAGGAGGAGGCTGTGGGCTTCCGTTGGACGATGCTGTGCAACTTGAACTGAGGTGTGAGGTTGATGAAAGGGATGTGGAAAACCTTGGCGGATAGTCTGTAGATGGTCGGTCAACACGTGGGCGTCTTCGGTGAGTCGCGCCGAGAGTGAGTCTATTCCGAAAGCATGCAAGGGGGGGTCTGTAGCAAGGATGACATGGACTGAGAGACGGTCTCACTTACCCATATCCAATGATTCCAACGTTGAATGTCTTGCCTGCTGCCATCTTGTCTCTTGTGGGTTCTTATTACACTGTATAATGAGTCCGAGAAACTGTGAGCTTTCTTCGTACGACAGACTTAAACAAAATGTCGTGAGCTTGATAGCTTTATATAGCTATCGTCGAGCTGGATCACTTTAACATGAAAGGCGATGAGGGGCACGAGGGGGCAATCGTGGAGGGAACTGGAGCTTTGGTGGAGTGACGGGCCAAGATTACCCCATTGCGTCACTAAGGAAGGACTCGGCGCTTTTCTCAATGGACGACGGAGAAAATTGCCCCATTTTCGGCGCGTCTGTCAGGTCACGGACGGCGACGCTAACGCCCACTTTGACACACCGGGTTTACCGGCCGTGAAGGACTGTTAGAGTTGCCTAAATAGGTCACCTTGGGGTTTCGATGAGCTGCCCCTCTTCACCGAGGCAGAGCCTATTGGATGTGTTCTTCATTCATTTTCATGTAGTGACTTGACTCAACATAGCCTCGGTGAGACCAAAGAATCTGTCTTCTTATAGCCATGTTATCATTATTTCTACTTGTTGTCGCAATGCCGTACTACCACGTCTCCCCAATGAATGGGAGAAACCGGTTACCAGTCAGGTGTATCCCTTTGGGTTACTCCCGGAGACAGTGTCTTTAACGTAGAAGTACATCTGACATGATACATATAACCCAGGAATGGAAAATCACAAAAAAGGGTGCCGCCATGGTTGGGTTCTTTTCAGCAGAGCTATTTACTTAAGACCAAACCAATGTCATTAACCGACGGACAATACCCTTTGTCCGAGTCGGCGAGGTCCTGGCTTCTTGCGAGTAATTCTGAGCTTCAGCATCCGCGTTAACAACTTTATCCGCGACCTATACGACGCCATGGAGGCGCTTCTGTGCACGATGCCATTTCTGATCTTTGTAGAGCCAGTGCAAGGCCACGTACATACAGAAGAACACGTGATACGACGCAGTCAGCCTCCATACGAGCTGCTGCGTAGGCGTAGGAAATTGAAAGTTCAATCCGATCATGAAGGAAACTCTGGGTGTAACGATGAAGACACCTCCGAGAGGGTAGTACATCAGTTCCATAGGCCGCCACAACTCGGAGGGACACCTGTCGCAAAGTTACTTTTTGATTGGTCGTCCGTAGGGTGGAACATGCATCATGTCGTCCAACCTCTGTAGAAGCTCCAGTTTGCGTCTATGTAAAGGATGCTCGGGGTGATATCGTCGAGTGGTGTACGGTGCCATGTTGTCGGGAGCTGCGAATGTGTCTATGAAACTCCAGTCAGCTGATTTTCGTGGACACTGGAGTGAATTAAAGGCACTCACATGAGACCTGGCGTAGCTTCGGATCTTGCCCAATGTCGCTTGCTCCTCATTCAAGACTTTGGTTTCAATTTACCGGGGATAGATACTGGCGGTTTCGGGTACCAGCAAATAAATATCGCAACCATGGCGAAAGTGAAGTATAGCGCCGTTAGTTCCAGAGCGGTGATGGGCTGTCCATTCCTGATACGGTCCATCACCGTGTTGAAGAACCACAGGGCTTACCAAAAAGTGATGAGTCTGGCGAAAGTCAATAAAAAGAACCAATTTGACTTTCGGTAGGGTTTAGAGACTACCTTTAGAGAGTATTAGCTGTATTCCATTCTGCAATATCCATGGATTCTATATCAGGAAACTCGACAAAGCCATGCTTGACCAGACAATGCAGCTATTCCGCGTCCATAGGAAACCTTTCAGGAAAGTCAAGGCTCTTGAGGAATATCCCACCCATATCAACAAAGAAAGACAAATTACTACTGTTTCAGTTCACGGTTTCCGAGGGACAAATCTCCCCGAGGATACGAGATTTCTTCACACGAGAAAGAATCACACTCCTCTTTTCACCTCCTACCGAAAAAGAAACACAGCCGCCTCAAATGACACATGTATCCGAAAGCCGTCAGCGTCGTAGATCCAAGCTGTAATGAGAAGAAATCGGCCGCCTGCAGAAAATGGATTAAATCCGTTGGTTTCTATGGAAACAAGACGAAATAAGAGCCCTTGAAGCCCTGAATCAGGACCTTCAGCCTGCGCCAGAGGCACTCAGGGAAGGTTTGCCTCATTGAGATGGTTTTGTTGGTTTGAGATTATGCCTCACTGAATTCGCTGTTAGCCGCCGGCTGCCCCAATTCGGTGCGTCACCCCGCTCTCCTCCAGCCTTTATCTTTCAAGTATCAGCGAGAATCCTGGTACAATCTCAATAGCGCAAATAAAAGTGATCTTTGTCGATGCATTTGTGTCAATGCTGGGGCATTTGTGCAGTCCTCCGACCCCGGGTCAGGCTTTCACCACCGTATGAGACGAATACCAGTTGGGATAGAATTGATCACGATTTGTGACCCAAGATCCAGCCACTTTGTACGCCAAGTGGGGGATTCGCTTTTACACTTGATGATTTTCTGAATCTGGTCAAAATTGGCGTGGAACCCTTCTTCAATTTGGGTGTTGATAAAATATCTGAGAAGGATGGCCATATGTTTTATGCAAGGAAGGAAGTCTCCAGGCATCCAACTATCCTTGTCACATCTAGGAGTCTTGAGGGAAGGCAGAGAGCTGACTTAATATTGAAAGTTATTGAGAGGTAGAACAAGTCGACGGTCATCTCCCAGATTCTGACTTGGCCAAACGTTCAAAATCGCTTGAGAATATTCCCGTACTACCTAGTAAGAAATAGCAGATACAATGAAATTTGATAAAAATATTGCGATATGCGATAGAACACTTTATATATTCCATCAGAAATCTGGCACTTGATAGCCGCGGGAAGGGCAGGGCTCTTCATCTTGACTGAAGTTCTCCAGCTTGCGTCGCTATGTCCACCGGTCTCCACCGAGGCATCGGCCCAAGTTGATCAACCGTATTCCGATGAGATTGCAGTCGTCGATTCGAGGTTTCAAAACTGTCATAATTACGACTTATTCTATCGCTAAGTCATATCGATCACCGATGCGTGCAGTTGAGAGGAGAATAAGGCGACCGCATGATGTAATTTTGGTGGCCATCCCACGACATGCTGTTGTTTTGCGGGCGATGTTGTGGGGATCTGAAGTCATCCCCCTGTGGGTGCGGCGTATCTGACAGGAGGTTTATCTCCGGCTTGAGTTGATGTGAGAAGAGCTCAATATGATGTCATGCGCTCAACAGATGTTTAAATGGCAGCTTTGGGACCTCGATGAGATGAAGAAATAGAAGGACAATCAACCCTCACAGCTACATTCAAAACATTGAAGACGGCTTTGTCCAGCAAAACATCATCCCCTAGAATCTTTACTCGAAACAACCGCCACAAGTCACCTATCAAAATGTCTGCTCAGTACAAAGCTCCGAGTGCTGGCGCCAAGGTATGTCTTGACATCCCTGGAGTCACGCAAGCCTGTTTTGGACAATCTTTTTTCGGAAATCCAAACTCTAACACAAACCACAGGTTGAGCCCAGCGCCGACGTCCGTCCCACTCGATCCGAAGCAACGGGTCCCGTCCCCGCCGGCTCCCTCGCAGCCGAGTCCGCCAACCAAGGCGGCGAATTCGCCTCCAACCGCAACGTCGACACCGCCGCCGCTTCTTCCCGAACCGGCACCGGCGGTACTCCCGGGTCTAGCGCCGCATCGATCCCCGATCAGGCCGCCGCAGCGCCGACATATGTGAACAACCAATACGTCCGCGACCCCAACGGGCCCCACGGGAAGAACATCACCGAGGGCTTCGACACGGCGAATACCAAGGACGGAGTGCAGGCTGCTTTCAACGCCGAGGTCGGTAGCGAGAATGACCCTGGCCGTGTGGCGGAGCAGGGGCTGCTGAAGAGCCAGACTAAGGCTGGAAGGGATGCTGGGCCCCGACAGACTGAGGTTGGGGGAGAGACTGTGTACGAGAAGTTGAAGAGCGATGTTCAGGCGTAGGATGTGTTTGATACAGCGTATGACTAATGATCTCTGTATGAATACTATTGTTGAATGACCTGAGAATCGGCGCCGATGGAATACCAAAATATTCCCCAACAGTGTGATTGATGAGAATTGCGAGGGGATTATCAAACTGAAAGGAGGTTGACGATGCCCTGAGACTCTACGCCACCCATTGTGACAAACAATTCCGCAAAATTTCCTGCCTACGCGATTTGGACCAGAAATAACACCATCGCTTTTCGACATCGTCCTGTCGAGCATTCGGGCCCTTGAGGACGCACTCGAGCGCACTCGAGGCGAAGGTTTTGCGCGCACGGGACACGTGAGCTTCTTGGCCCGACCTCAGACCTTCTTTGTCATCAGCATCGGGCGCTTGGTCTAGGGGTATGATTTTCGCTTCGCACTTCCGATAGGAACGCGCCTTTGTGAAAGGTCGTGGGTTCAATTCCCACAGTGTCCAGTTCAATTACAATTTATGTTCAATCGTATGTTTTTGCTTTGTAGAGCAAGTCAGTCGGCTTTGATTCGCATCATTTCTTTGGTCGTTTGATGAATGGTGGTGACGGACGCTTCACTACCGGCAGGGACCAGTTGGTGAAGGTGGTTGATTACCTACCTACCCATCATGACTGAGCTGTGTAAGTAAGTACCACTTGAGTGAGATGTATGGGTGAGTGAGTGTTCCTGACCTGCACATCATGGAATTTGTGTAGGATACCTTACGATTCATTCCGTCCCAAAATTCATGAGAATGGTCATGAGCCGTTTTCCGTTCACGTCAACGAATGTTCCCCAATACGGCGTATTAAACTTTGTTGAGCCGTTCAGCAATGGGCGACAGTTGCAGTGAGCGAGGGACGGATTCGGTCGGCCCCCGAAAGGCGAGTGGAGCCGTCAAGAATACGGTTGCCTAAATCTGTCAGTGCTAATTAACTGCATGATGCCGCGCCGTTCCTTTCCCCGGGGAATTTTCCCACTGCTGGAGACGATGGAATTTTCCATTGAAACGATGGAAGAGAGGTGCGACAAGGGCTGATCCGAGTCTTATTCCAACATCAGACCTACTTTCACATCCCTTCCGTCCAACGCCTTTTCAAGTCTTGGCCTGCTCGCTGGACACATTAGACTCGGCATTATCACCCGAGAACGTGCCACAAGAGGCGCAGCCGTTGACGTTACCCCCCCCCTTGTTACGGGACGAGTCAGGACAAGAACGTCAAACCTTACCGCAAAGAAGCTTGTTCTTTTTCTCCTTCAGCGCTTCTCTCCCACGTCTCTACTATTATTCAGCGGGTGGTTGAGCTGCCGATGCCCCGGAACAGCAGGGAAAGCGAGACACGGGAGCTGGGAACGTCAACTGTGAACTACACCTCACTCATTGATCAACGACGATTCGACACCACCAGCAACGACGACGCAAAGGGTGGAGGATAGGCGACGTGGACACACACATCTCATCCATGCTCGTCCTACGGTAGACGCAAGATGAGTGCGCCCGAGTCGTACCAGCTCGAGTCCCTCGCCTCGGACGGGGACGGCGTCAAGCCAACGTCGCCGACGGCCTCCATCGACCCGGCCAACGTGCGGTGGATGAACCAGGGCGACCGACGATGGGAAGTCTGCAAGATCGTGACCCGTCTGGTTGGGACGCTGCTATGCGCCATCATCCTCATAATCATGATGGCGTGGTATGGGTACCCGCCTTGGGATAACTATAGTGTCTGGCCTTGGCTGTGTCTGCCAGGAGTAAGTTCTGTCACTTGCCCTTTCATCTCATACAGCAGGAAGCTCATCATGAGACGAAATCTAGGCTTTGCCATCGTTCATGTGGGATTTGGGGGAATTCCTCACCATCTGCGCCCGCCACGGACGCGGCATCACGCCAAAGGCTCACATTGGCCTGGAACTCATCATCTCTATCCTCGGCTTCATTGGCGGAGGCTGGCTGGCTTTCCAGCTTGGCATCCAAGAGGATGACCAGATAGGAAACAACCCGCTAAACCTCGCTCTCGTAGAGTGTATTTTTATGCTTCTCAGCGCGTGAGCACACCTTTCTCTCGCCCTTCCCTCGCCATACTCACACTTCCTCTAGAACAATCCACATGGCACTCTTCATCCGCGCCTGTATAGAACGCAGCCGCGAGATCCGCCGGCGCAGACCGCGTGTGATGTACATCCCAGAAACAGGCCAAACAGTCTACGTCGTCGCCAAACCCTTTCCAAAACTACCTACCTGGAAATCCCAATCCACGCGCGCCCAATCCTTCCCGCGCTCACCGCAGAGCCCCCTCAACAATTCCCTACGGCACCACTTTGCCCAACTCCAAGAAGAGATGCCTCCGCCATTACCCGACCGGCCCGGCGATCAGTCCCCGTCTTCGGCGTCATCTATCAAACGGAAACCTTTACCGGGCGCAGGTATCCCATCGCGCACGATTCCGGCGGGCGGTGATAGTCGGGACCGGCATCTCCGGCCGAATATGCGGCCCCCGCCGGCGGATTATGAGCCTTCTGCGGAGGAGCTGGAGCGGATGAGACGGGGTGACGCGCAGCCTCAGCTTATTTTGCCGGGGGATGTGGATTTCAAGTTTGCTACGAGCGTGACTGGTATGACACCGGCTGATGCGAGCGCGAGGGAAGGGAAGTATAGGGTGAATATGACGCAGATGCCGGTGGTGATGGGGGAGTCTTCGAGGGGTGGGAGTGCCGGCAGGACGAGGTCTATCTAATTGTCTTCCGTGGCATCTATATACCTTACTTTGGGATACCTCATTTGAGTGTATTTCTCACTCATTTCATGTGTAGCATTTTCATGATAGGTGGGACGGCGTTTGGGGGTATCTCATGGCTGCGTAGAACAGTCTCATTTAGGAATAAGCATCTCATGATATTCTTCTGATTCATTCTTTTCATATAATTTCGTCTCCAAGTCATCTTGCAATCGCAAGATCATCAATCTCAATCATAGGAATAGCTTAGGATTGAAATCAATTCACTCCAGTCCCAAATCCTCGGGCATTTCAACTCAGATGGCGTCGATCAAAAGTGCCAGCCCTTGAGCGCAAAGCAGGGCGCAGCACTAGCTCGTCGCCAATACTCAGGCTGTCAGGGGCTCGTCGCGCCGTGACAGGCCCTACCCAGGACCAGCGACACGAGCCTCAGACCCACTGAGAGCCCACAATACAGAGATCTGACTGGCTACGGTACCACAGATGGATGGATTTTGGGGAACGAGTGCCCCCTGTAGTGCGCTGTAGTGTGAGATAGTGTACCTGAAGGATCATGGCAAGGAACCTAGTGTACTAAGGTACGTACTGTAGCCCCCCTGTTGGTGCCCTCTGATCTTTTCCCAGGGTTCGAACTTTTGGCTCCTCCCCCTTGGCCCATCGGCCCCCGAGTTGCTTGTCGTCCGCCGTTCGATTTCCATCCCCGGTCCAAAACGCATGCGACCTGAACATGCCGCCGCCGACACTCATTCTCCTCACTGCCGACCTCGCCGCGTAACCCAGCCCCTCTAACGCAGAACAACAAGCCGAGCGCCATTCGAGATTTCTTCTGTTCGCCATTTAGACGACACTCCTCCGACACACTCACCTTCGAGCATCACCCACAGCCTCAATGGCAACGCCATCATAAACCACGCGATCATCCCCCAAAGAATCGCCCATCCCGCGGGCTCCGAAGAGACGAAAGGAAACACACCCCCTCCCCTCGCCAAGGGGCCAAGGGGAGGACCTAGACGATCACCAGCGATGCAGACCTACCTCTCCGCCTCCGAAAATACTCTATCAAAATGGACAACACGCCGCTCCACCCAGACATCACGACCCTGCCGCCCGACACAGGCCAACGCCACGGCGACTTCCTCACCGCGATCCCCTACAACCGATCAATGTACCGCACCACCCTCCTTCTCCGCCTCGCCTCCATGCTCGACGCCGTCATCATCCTCGCCTCGCTCGCCTCGCAAAAGGAAGACGACGCCTTCATCACCGACAACTGGTCTTTCGGGTGTCCCACGGCGGTTCTGGCGCTGCTGTGGAGCGCGGGCGATGTAGGCGCGATGCTGGTGCGCGATCGCGGGTTCCGATGGACGAAGAACGATCCGACGAAGCTGCCGCGGAGTACAAAGTTCAGTTGGGGGAAGCCGGGCGCCCACGTGGCTGCGCATTTGCTGATTTGGGTGCCGACGGCGGCGTTCATGGGGATTGTGATTTCGAGTTGGTTGTTTTATCAAAACGGGGGCGGGTCCTTGGGTGGTGTTGATCCGCGGCAGACGCATACCATGGCGGCGGTAATTTTCTTCATGTTTGTCTTGACGTATGTCTTTCCCATTTGTCGCCTCCCTGGCTTGAGCCTGGAGATATGGACCCCCTTTTTGAATTTGAGAATGGCGGCTAACAGACTCGCAGGATGATCCACTTTGCGCTCTTCATATTTGCCATTGTCGAGGTGGACAATGTGCGACGGCATTATTCTGACGTCGTCTTCATTCCGAGGGGCGAGCTATGCGAGATGGTGCCCGTGCCGCCATCGACGCCGTGGGAGATGTTCTCGCCGCGGAAGCTGCTTCTATCTTATTTTGCGAACCACTATGTTCGCTTTGTGCCCGGAGCAGACGGGACGGTTACTGTTGCTCGAGACTATAGTAGTCGACAGGCGAGGTTTTGAAGAGGGCCGGCCATTTACAAATACATACACAAGCCGCAACGTTGGCTCTCTGAAACAAGACAGAGGCTCCGAGTCTGATTCAAAGACTTGAGTAATTTCTCGAACCCATCAAGAATGGATTCTCAAGAGGCACTTTTCACATTACTTTACCTCAAGTAAGTATAACGGAAAGGATTGGTAGAAGGAACACTGGATCCTCCGCAGGATCATCGCAGAAACAAGCGTTATTTGATTTTAACAACAGCTGGATTGATACCCAGGGATATATGGAGTACGTATGGCAATCGTTTGGCAGCAAATAATGGAAAATAATAAAACCCATCAAAACATCATCTTCAGCACCTTCCTGCCCTCGGCCAGCCGGTCCAGTGTTGGCAGTCTTGTGTTTCGGCCCTGCCAATCAAGTCAGGCGGATTAGCACGTGACGCGTGACGTCAAGCCCCGCGGCTCCGTGTTGCTGCACAGTGGCGTCAGGCTGGGTCTCTGAGCCTCGAGGAGGGTCTCTTTTTGAGGGTCTTTGAGGGTCTTGGGCGGGACAGCTGAGCTTTCCCATTTCCACCCTCAGTTCCAGGGAATGATTACGATTAGATAAGAAATAGATGAGAGGGGATAGGTGCCCAATCATTCGTGAACCGTGTAAGAATAGTCCCAGGAAACACCGCGTGAAAGGTGGCCTCGAACTGCGAGTGAGTGACCAAGACTCTATCAGGTACGGCACCAAGAACTACCTTAACATGCCAATGTAGCACCTGCGTGAAATGGCAAGGAAAAATACCCGGCACTTTAAGACCATGAGGAAGGCAGGAAGAAAAGGTCCTCCTTCTTGCCGCAAGAGTCACTGTCCGGGAGTCAAACGGAGAAGGCGGTCGGGGTACGTACCGCTTACTCGTGCTTGCATCACACCTGTTTCCTGAGGTGGGCAAGAGCAGAGAGCACGGTGCACGGGAGATGCATTTTGCATTTGTTGGTGCCTTATCGCCTCGCTACCCTATCGCTCATCAGCTTTTTTCAAAATTTTGAGGTCGTTTGCCCCACTACCTAAGGTACCAACTCTGCGAACATGGAACCTGGCCGCAGCATGGAGCGGGCTGTCCGCTCTCAGCGCTGCGCTGTGTGTGAGCCTGTGAAGTGTGTCCAGTTGCCCCTCCCCACCCAAAATCATCCTTTCTCCAGCCTGGGAGGGGTGGTGGGTGTGTGTTTCGCACCGCCGCTCTTTGTCTCTTTCTCCATGTGTGTGTGGTCACCCTGCCGCCAGACGTCAACCTTTGAATTTTTTCTTTTCTCCTACACGCCTCATCCTCCCAACTCTCCTCTCTCTCTCTCCCAGTCGACTTCATCGCCGACTTGATACCTGCGTGACACTTTTACGGTCGTCGACGCATCACTAGGAAACACAAAAAGGTCTTCTTCGTAGCCTTTTTTCCCCCTCCTTTTTTCTCCGTCTTCTTTTTGGGCGACCATAGGTTCCCCGCCATCGCTTAGAGGGAAAAAAAAAAATAACCCCGCCATCAACCACAAACCACCGTCATCATGGTTTCCTCATCCAAGGAGAAGAGACTCGCCAAGAAGGCCGCCGAGGGCAAGCTCGATAAGAAGAAGGGCTCTAAGAATGTCAGCACGACTGCCTCATCGGTCAACGGTGATGAGGTCGCCGCCAACAATGACTCGGAAGAGATCAAGCGCCTCGCCGACCAGATGGACAAGCACGGCATTTCTGACCGTGTCACCACCGGTGTCCTGGCCTCCACCCAGGCTAGCAGAGACGTCAAGATCACCAGTGCCTCCCTCGTCTTCCACGGCCGCGTCCTCTTCAACGATACCACCCTCGAGTTGACCTACGGACGCCGATACGGTCTCCTGGGAGAGAACGGTTGCGGAAAGTCCACCCTTCTCAAGGCCATTGCCGCCCGCGAGTTCCCCGTTCCCGAGCACGTCGATATCTACCTGTTGAACGAGGGTGCTCCTCCCACCGACCTCGGTGCCCTTGAATGGGTCGTTACAGAGGCCGAGCGCGAGATGGAGCGTCTCGACAAGTTGGCCGAGAAGATTCTCGAGGACGAGGGTCCCGAGTCCCCTGTCCTTATGGACCTGTACGAGGTATGTTCCCTTCCGCTTCCCTTCCTTGCCTAGACCTGAAAATCTAGGCTTGGACCTTCAGAAACCGATCATGATCTAATAGTCTCGTAGCACATGGAGAAGATGGACCCCTCTACCTTCTCTACCCGCGCCTCCCTTATCCTGACGGGTCTGGGTTTCAACAAGGTCACCATCCACAAGAAGACAAAGGACATGTCTGGTGGCTGGAGAATGCGTGTCGCCCTTGCCAAGGCTCTGTTCGTCAAGCCCTCGCTGCTGTTGCTTGACGACCCCACTGCCCATTTGGATCTTGAGGCCTGTGTGTGGCTTGAGGAGTACCTCAAGAAGTGGGACCGTACCTTGGTCCTCGTTTCCCACTCCATGGATTTCCTCAACGGTGTCTGCACCAACATGATCGACATGCGTGGCAAGCAGCTTCTCTACTACGGAGGTAACTACGACATTTACGACAGAACCCGTACCGAGCAGGAGACGAACCAGATGAAGGCATACCAGAAGCAGCAGGACGAAATTGTGCACATCAAGAAGTTCATTGCCAGCGCCGGTACCTACGCCAACTTGGTCAGACAGGCAAAGTCTCGTCAGAAGATTCTCGACAAGATGGAAGCCGACGGTTTCATCCAGCCCGTCATCCCCGACAAGGTCTTCACCTTCCGTTTCGCCGACGTCGAGAAGCTTCCCCCTCCCGTCCTTTCCTTCGACGACGTTACCTTCTCCTACTCTGGCGACCCCAAGGACGACCTGTACCGCAACATCGACCTCGGTTTCGACATGGACTCCCGTACCGCCCTCGTCGGACCCAACGGTGTTGGCAAGTCTACTCTGCTGCGCCTGATGACCGGCAAGCTCTCTCCCACCGCCGGTTCCGTCACACGCCACACTCACTTGAAGCTGGGTCTGTACTCCCAGCACAGCGCTGAGCAGCTCGACTTGACCAAGTCCGCCCTGGACTTCGTCCGTGAGAAGTACGCAGAGAAGTCCCAGGACTACCAGTACTGGCGCCAGCAGCTCGGCCGCTACGGTCTGACCGGTGAGGCCCAGACCTCCCTGATCGGCACCCTGTCCGACGGACAGAAGTCCCGTATCGTCTTCGCCCTGCTCGCCATCGAGTCCCCTAACATGCTGTTGCTCGACGAGCCTACCAACGGTTTGGATATCCCCACCATTGACTCTCTGGCCGAGGCCATCAACGCCTTCTCCGGAGGTGTCATCGTCGTCTCCCACGACTTCAGGTACGATTACAAACCCTACATGCGTAATCCAATGACTTGATACTAATTCTTCCATAGACTTCTTGACAAGATTGCCAAGCAGATTCTCGTGTGCGAGGACCGGACCATCAAGCCTTGGGGCGACTCCATCGGGGCGTACAAGAACTACCTTCGCAAGAAGATGGTTTCTGCCGGCGCTGTCTAAAACAGTTTCGGTGGCGAGACATTTCTGGGTTCGGATGCATCTCCCTCTTCAGCGTATGGTTTCTTTCTCTCCGGGAGGAAAATAGAACAAAAAAGTGTTTGTTCATGACTTTTATGAATAAAAGTACCGCCATGACCGTCACGACCAGGCCGGATGGGCTGCTGCGGAAACAAGGGAAACGGACAACCTATACCCCCCTTCGTTCCCTCCCTCGAGACGGCGGAAACGGTGGAAAAAGAGATTGAAGCGGGCATGGGACGGCATCGAGGGAAGAAGACATATTCAGCATCCATTAGGGCGGCTGCTGGCACGGCATGGGACAGATAGATATCTGCAGCTGCGAACTTTTTTTTTCTTGTTTTCCATCGTCTTTGTGTAGATGACGAGGACAATAGAGGCCATGAGCCATTGATTTGAGCAACTTAAGAAGCATCTGATCTTGAGATGATTGTGATGTGTACCACACTCTGGTCGACAATGCAAGGCTATAGGAGAGAGATGAACTGGCGATTGTAAATGCCTCGAATCAAGTAGACTGCTATTTATATGTCAAATTAATTTTCTGATTATTATTATTTTCCAGATTCTACATAAGAGATACTATGACCGTGGCTGGGTTATGGTGACACTAGAGGGAGAAAGGTCAAGACATGCCCCAGGGGTATAGCATACGAGGCTGCAAAAGCTCGCGAATCACAGAGTAGGAGTTGGAGAGCAAGATGAATGAAAGGCGAAGATTGCACGTGATCCAAATCGCACGGGAGCTCTGACCCGGATACAACGGCTAGATCGGAGCTGGGTGCTTCTGAAGCAAGGGGCAGCCAATCATGTATCTGGGGATTTGGTGGGATGAGGTAAGCATTGACGGGGTTGGCGTTGCTGTGTGGGAGTCTAGGGATCTTACGTGATCAGGTTTCTGCTGTTCAAAGTCCTGAAGATATCCTACTCCCATTTTAAATAGATGCTTGCTACTCAGATATTCAGAGAAAACTTGATAAGCGGAGAGGAAAATCAATAGGAGCTCGTAACGGTCTCAGGATTTCGTTGGCCGGAGATGCGGGAGAATTTCCATGCGTGATGGAATTGGGGTCGAGTTTGCTGGTTAGGTACATGGCCGAGGGTGCGATGCACTACCAATTTCTGTCAGGATGGATCATGGATGCCCACGTTCCAAGTCCCCTAATTACCTTTACCATGTTGTTGGCTTTTTTTTGGTACTTCCAGGCACAAAGGCTACCTTGTTGCTGGCATTGCCGGTAGATGTCTCTTTCTTGATGACTTGTTAGAGATACCTGTGAAGGGGAACGTGATTGACATTTGAGTCAACATCGTGGTCGCGAGAATGAGATGGGAGAGAGACGGGGACGGGGGAAAAGAAGGGCGAAAAGGGGAGGATGGTTCGACCCTGAATCCAAAGGCTGACGGGGGGAAAGTGGGAAAAAAAAGGTTCAATTTGTTTTCGATGGGGGGCTGACGCTGCAGCAGGTTTCGGAGGGCGGGAACTTGAGAAGTCGCTGGGAAACCCACTTCGTGATCCATCATGAGGTACCTATGCCGTCCACGGTAGGGGGCGATTATCGCCGGTGCACACCACGCGATTCGGTCCGGAGCATCTGGTATCATCTTAGGTGAGGTAGTCCTGTGCGTCATCTTCGTTGCGTAGAAGGGATGATGTACTGAGACAATCCCACAAGATGGATTTTTTTGGTGCGAAATGTCAATGTTATATCTGCTTCGTCACTGAATGGGATTTTTTTTTCCGCAACCTGATTGCCGAGGTGATGGTGATTTCTGATCATGTGGGAGCAATTGAGGCCATTCCCAGAAGGGTTTTGTGTGAGCCGACGGTCATTTGGGGAGATGTATCAGCAGCAAGTACAAATGGGTGGCTTACTACTCCCGTATATCCCAGGCTTCTTTGGAGGCTTTCCCTTTTGATGATTGCAGAGCTGACGAGATCCTTTGCGGTGCATCTCTTGCATTCTCGCCGGTTGCTGGTCGTGGTTTACAGTCTTCCAGCGGCTGGCGTCTGAAAACAACGGGAACAACGAGTGTTGGGTGACTTGGTCAGGGCAGAGGGTGGTGGCCCAGAGCAGCCGAAGCGTGGGACGGGGAAGGCGGCTGAAATGCCTCACAGGTAGAGGATGTGTCGTGTTGTATTTTCCAACTAACATCACAGTGAGGGATACATAGGGGAACAAATCGTCTGGACTGAAGTGGGGGGAGGGGGGACTGTGCGGCCGGGGGCAAGGAAGGCACGAACAGGAGGAAGCAACCCAAGAGGCTCAGAGGTGGCCCGGGATTGGCGGGAGCATCTGCGCTAGCCCCGAGTTAGCAGCCCGGTGGTGAGGTACCTGGACGGTGGAGCGCGCCTGGTGCAGGTGCACCTGCTTGCACCTGTCCTTTGCGACTCGCGAGTTTTTGGCGGTAGGGAAGTGACGACTGACGAACCACCCAAAATTGATGAAATCGGGGGATCCTCACGGGAGAAGGAACTGACAGGTCGCGCCTTCCCTGGGATCTGGGTGAGGACGTGGAGGCAGGCACACGATGTACCACCAGGACGTTCCTTCCTTTGGCTTCCATATCATTGCAATTGCTCTTTCCCATGCTGCTGATTTTCCAAATGTTGATAGATATCCTGGTTTTTTTTGGGGGCGTTTTTTTTCTGGTTCATCATAGACGATTCTGTTCATTGCATACTGTCGAGAAAAGACATCCAGTACACATACACACACCGCACACATTGCATCGCATCGCACATCCCCGACGATCTTGGACTACGACGGCCAACAACTGGAGACACGCCTGGAAAGTCTGGAAAGTCTGGAACTGGAAGGGACGGACGGGGGGTCTTCCACTCGACTGCATCGGCATCGCCCTCACCCACCCCCCATCCCATCCCATCCCATCCTTGGACCATTGGATCACCCACAGACTTGGCTCAAGTTGTTCACCCCTTCTCTCCAGTCTCGTCTTGATCGCTCACTCATCCATTCACTTCCAGGTTGCTCTCGCTCCTCCGAGTCCCAAGTGCATCAAAGTCCGCCCGCCCACACACCCGATTGGCAAGACGCACTCACAATTCCCTTGCTTCCTCTTCTTTCCATTCAACATTGACGGATACACCATCAATCCGGTATTCCATACCTCTCCTAATCATCGTCAATCATCACCACAACACGGAGTACTATACCCACAAAGAGCTCTAAAGACATCGTCGCCACCAGCGCACGACGCCTTCACCACCACACATACTCCGTACACACTCACAACCCACAACACACACACACACACACACACACACACACACACGTACGAATACCCCGGCAAGGTCATACCAGCATAGCAGCGCAGCCCATCACCGATCCAGCTCCAGCTCCAGCTCAGCTAGCTTCATTCCAAGACACACCCGGTGATACCGCCCAGCCAAGGGCCCAAGACAACAGCCAAAGCCAAAAGCCGCAAAGCAACACGGACTGTGGAGTTGGACATCCTCCCCAAGGCTCAAGGCTCAAGGCTCAAGCATCTCCAATACTCCACCCGCGCAGACTCAACCCTGCTTGCGCGCCCATCCATCGCATCGCAGTCTGCAAAGCCGAACCTGGGCCACCACCATAACCACCACTACCACATCCACCACCCGTCCTGCTGGTCTGGCCTCCTCTTCTCGTTTCTCTCTCTCGCTCTCTTCTCGTGTCAGAGGGACAGGTCATCCTCCGCCCCATCCTCATCTACGTTCCCCCGACCTTAGCTCCGACATTCGCACTCCATACCGCCAAAACTCTCGATCCGACACACAATTCCATCATCGCCACCCACTTCTCCCACCGTTCTTCAGGTTTCTCGGTCGACCGCTCATTTCAACCTTGCCGCGAGCACCGCGAATAGCATCACCGACGCCCGCCATCACCATTTCCCATCGAACCCCATACCACGGTACCACCAATTCTTGAACCATACACCCCTGCACCTCCCCACGACGCCAACTTCCGACTCCACGTCCTTTTTTCGCGATCCGCCTCACTTGCTTCACTCCTGTCCAAAACCCCCAACGCGTAACCCAATCACCTCCCCTCGATTGTCCACCACCCATTCTGCTCTGCACATGGGTCCGCGATCCTCGCTGTAGTCATCAATCCCCTCTCCCCCTTCCCTTTCCCCCTTCTCTTCCCTCTCCTTTCTTTCCTCATCCAAACCCCCCTCCCCCTCCCACTACTGCATCGTCCGGTTACGAGCGCCATCCGCGTACAAGTCGAGTAGGGTTCTGCGACAACGACGCCATCGCCGCATCCCGTCACGATGGACCACCCTAAAGACTTCCGCTCGACGGTCCTGCAGGCGCCCTCCCGTCACGATGATCGCGACGACGACCGTGATCGCGACCGCCGCCGCCATCGCGACATCATGAATCCCGCGCCCGGCAGCACGCGCCATTCGGGCTTCAACTTGCGATCGCCTACCCAGTCCGAGTACCATCACCCCCCGCACTCTTCCTACTCGTCGCCCAAAGCAGCCTCGTCGACGTCCCATGCGCTCCCGCATCACTCACCGCGATCCCATCAGTCCGGCCTGTCGCATCCGAATCCTTACTCCTCCTCGACGGCTGCTGGCGGTCCGCTTGCGCCCTCGTTGCCCGCGCTCGGCGGTGCCAGCAGCAGCTCGGGAGCTGGACATCATCAAGCTCCGCCGTTGTCGCCGTTGCACCCCCCGAGCGGATACTACCCGCCACCCGAGTCGCATCAGACGCGCGAGAAGCCTGCTACGAGCAGCTACTACGATCCGTTGACTGACACTACAAGAGAAAGGAGGGTGTCTGACGCAGGTTGGAACAATAATGCGGCCAATGGCTCGCCCAAGGTAAGAGATAATTCCGTAATCTTGTCATTCATGATTCAACTACCACAGTGGCATCGCATTGGTGTATATACGATGCGATGCTGCCTGGTGTATTCCCGTGTTTGCTACTGCTTCTTGTCCTGGCTCTGTACCATCCTTAC